AGAGAGAGAGAGAGAGAGAGAGAGAGAGAGAGAGAGAGAGAGAGAACACATCTTGCTCCCTATGAGTTCTGGGGACTGAACTATCATCATGCTTGACAAGAGCCATCGCACTGTCCCTTGTTTATTTCTTGTGATGCTGTGAACTGAACTTAGAACCTCACATATACTAAGCAAAAACTCTGATACTAAGCTATATTCCCAGCACATTTATTACTTTATTATACTAAAGATAGCTGAAGCTAGCCTGAAACTCTGATGTGGAAGTACAGCCAAATTTTGGCATATACAAAAGAATGAAAACCCTATTATTTTATATATTATATCCCAATGACAAGAAGAAATAGATACACATAGAAATAGCAAAGAAAACTTTCTGAGACCATGATTTTAAAATGTCTTTTGAAATGATCTTCAAGTACTCAACAATTTTATTTCTTCCAAATTTAACGGTCTATCATATTATACTTCCTTTCCTTGATTGTGCTGCATATTTGCTTACCCTTCACTCCACTAATGTCACCTCTGACCTTTTACTTGGCAAACTTTCTTCTTAAGTGTTCTAATTTGGTATTTAAGATCTATGACTACTCCCTTTGTAAACATGACCGCATTGCAGTTAAGTATATTCCTTATTCCTATCACGGCCATTTCTCTTGGATTCTACTTATTTTATTATTCAGACAGGCTCCCATTATGTAGATCAACCTGCCTCTGCCACCAATGACTTAAAGATACTCTCCCCTTCCTCCACCCCCCAGTGCCAACTGTGATGGTACACACCTTTAATCCCAACATCAGAGCAGAGGCAGGTGGGCTGCTATGAGTTTCAGGCCAGCCTAATCTATAATAGTGAGTTCCAGGCCAGCAGCTTACATACTAAGACTGTCTCAATATAAGCATATAAATTACTTTTACTTGTGTATGTGTGCCTGCATGACTTTACGCACACTGCATACATGCAAGAATCCTTGATCCCAGCACTTGGCAGACAGATCTCATTGAGTTCCAGGACAGCCAGGACTGTTACACAGAGAAATCCTGTCTTGAAAAAACTAAAATAACAACATAAAAAAAATCCTCAGAGGTTAGAAATGGGCAGTGGATGCCTTGGAATTGGAATTGGCTGTGAGCTCTTCTGTGCATACTAGGAACCAAACCCTGGCTAGCCAAAAGCAGAAGTACTCTTAACCACTGAACTATCTCTAGCCCTTATGGTATTTTTAACAGGTTTCCCTTTATTTAGTCTCTCGCCGCATACTATTAGTAGCCTTCTACAACAGAAAGCCAGGTACCTCTAATACAGTAGACCTCAAGTTGGGTGTGGTACAGCTCATCACTTGGAAGGCTGAAGCAGGAGGATCACTATGAGTTAGAAGACACTCTAGGTTACAGAGTGAGACACTCATTCATTTTAAAAAACTAAAATAACAAAAGACCCATGCATAATTGGTCTTTTTTATACTTATATAACAAATACAATGGAAACCAGCCTAGCTCTTCTCCCCCCTATTGCTTACAACCTCTTACATTTTCTCCTGGCCATCTCATGCCACTCTTGAGACCAATATGGCCAGGAGACTCTCCAGCTTCCTTAAGAATGCCTGGACAGGGGCTGGAGAGATGGCTCAGAGGTTAAGAGCACTGACTGCTCTTCTGGAGGTTCTGAGTTCAATTCCCAGCAACCACATGGTGGCTCACAACCATCTGCAATGAGATCTGGTGCCCTCTTCTGGCCTGCAGTCATACATGCTGTATACATAGTAAATAAATAAAATCTTAAAAAAAAAAAAAAAAAAAAAAAAAAAGAATGCCTGGACAAAGGAGACCAGAGGGGAGGGTGAGAGAAGACCTTTGAGTACACAGAACTAAGTGAGCAGGAGTAGATACTTGACTGATCAAGTTGACTTGTGGCTCCCAACATCTCAACTAGTAACCATGTCAGAGTTCAATTTAGTGTGAAATTCAGTATGACTCTGAGAAGTCAGGGAAGGGGGAATCTCACTAAAAAAAGATATAAAACAGAACTATAACTATTACTTGCTCTGAGATAACCTCTCATGAAGAAGCAATGTGAACAGAAGAAAATATAATATTAAACGCCAAAAAGCCTCAAGCTGACAGTTATTAAATCTTCTTTCCCGTAGTACTTGGGATTGAGTTTAGGGTTATATTACTGAGTCCCAGCTATAGCCACAACTATAATGCTACTTTACCCCTCATTAAAAATTGTTTTTTCATTTTGAGGCCAGCCTGGTCTACAGACTTGAGTTCAAGGACAGACAGCTGTAACACAGAAAAACACTGTCTTGAAACCCCAATAAATAATAAACAAACAAATAAATAAAGTTTGTTTTTTCAGTTCGAGGCCAGCCTGGTCTACCGAGTTGAGTTCCAGTACCCCTCATTAAAAATTGTTTTTTCGCCATGCAGTGATGGCGCACGACTTTAATCCCGGCACTAGGGAGGCAGAGCCAGGCGGATCTCTGTGAGTTCGAGACCAGCCTGGTCTACAAAGTGAGTTCCAGGAAAGGTGCAAAGCTACACAGAGAAAGTCTGTCTCGAAAAACCAAAAAATAATTTGTTTTTTCAGTTCAGGAGGCTAGTCTGGTCTACAGAGTTGAGTTCCAGGACAGACAGAGCTATAACACAGAAAAACCCTGTCTCGAAAACCCAATAAATAAATTATAAAGGAATAAATAAATAAATAAATAAATTTGTTTTTCAGCCAGGTTGTAGTGGTGCATACCTTTAATCCTAACACTTGGTAGCAGAAGCAGAAGCCAGCCTGGTGTACAGAGTGAGTTCCAGGACAAAAAAACTGTTTTTTCATAGAGGGTCTTATTATGTATCCCTGGCTGGCCTGAAATGGCCTTGAAGGCTATAAAGTATAATTTTAAATACTACTTTACACAGACACCTTGAATGTCCTCCCCCCTTGAACGGTAGGTAAGAGTAACCTCCTCAGTAGGACATACAAGATCATAAACTGGTTCCCAGTAACAATCCGGCCTCATCTTTCACCATAATTGCTTTACTTCTTGCTCTAGTAATAATGTTATGTTTCTAGTTTAATAGACATAATACACTATTTTTTTTCCTTTTTGAGATAAGGGTCTCAAAGTTTCAGGCTGGCCATAAAACTGCTATGTGGTACTACAATCAAAGCCAGGTCTTGGTGCACACTGGCAAGTACTCTACCAATTGATATATACCCCACCCTACTTTCAAACCCTTCCTCTCTCGGTGCTGGTATTACAGGCATGTCACACTCTTTCATATGTATGTGCTTGTGTAGAAGCAATGTCACAGATTTTGAATCTTCATTATCAGTCTTTCTGATAAATTTCTAGTCATTCCTCAAAGCTACATCTTTCCAGGTGATTCTAACTTAAACAAACAAACGTGGGTATGTTGTGGTGGTATATGCCTTTGATCCCAGCACTTGGGAGACTAAGAAAGAGAATCATAGTTCAAAGCCATCTGAGCTACATACTGAGACCTTGTCTAAAACAAGTATCAAAAGATGCTTACTAAATTGAAAAATTAATAAAATTGCTTAGTTCTACTACTAAACTCAGCTGCAGAGTGTGAACTATCAGGCTTTTTAGTGTTAAAATTTGGACAATCTCAGGCAATCCAACTTCTACCACAACCACTATCACTCTGTGTGTCTGTGTGTACTGAGGTAAGGTTTTCCTCTAAAAGGAAGTAACTGACAGAGTCTCAAATGCAGCTAAAGAGGCAGGAATGTTTCTTTCCACTAAAGAATATTAAGAACCCAATGTATATTTAAGTTTATTCTGGGTAACACCACTACTTATTGACTATATGGTATATTCTCTAGTAGATCAATACCCTAGAATCTTAGCAATTAAAAAACATTTGCAATCCTACTTAATTAGTTCTAACATTAAATCAGGAAAGATGATAGAAGAGGGGAGAAGAGAGAGAGAGAGAGAGAGAGAACAATAAATGAACACATTCAACATGTATGACAAGAAAAAAATTATATAGACAAAACCCAAAAGGGAAAAAGTGACTAGCCTTAATTGGTTACTATGTTACCTGTTATTCAGCAAAATGTTAGAACACTTAATATCCCGATGGAGGAAATTCTTTTTGTGACAGTAATCCAATCCTTCCATTAGCTGTTTCATGAATGACTTGATATGGTCCTCAGAAAAGTGCACCAAACCTGATTCTAGCAGTCCCATTAAGTCATGGTCCATATATTCAAATACAAGGTAAAAGGCACCTACATAACATGGAAAAAAAAATATTGAAATAGCAATCCTCAAATTTGAATATAACTGAAGTTAACCATTCTCTCTGGAACCACTTAATTTTATAGATGAAGGACCTAAAAATTAGACTAATAAAATAACTTACCAAGGATAAATAATACTACTGGAATAAATAATTTACTTATTTGTTTATATTTATATTATAATTTATAATAAATAAGCAATAAATTAATAAATCTTGATTCCTATACTACCCATATGTGGACTATTTACATTTTAAGAGAAGTGCCGCCGGGCGGTGGTGGCACACGCCTTTAATCCCAGCACTCAGGAGGCAGAGGCAGGCAGATCTCTGTGAGTTTGAGGCCAGCCTGGTCTACAGAGTGAGTTCCAGGACAGCCAGGGCA